ACACTCCAAAGAGAAAGGAAAAAATGAAATCGCATCATATGACCCCTTTAAGATATTTCTGATGGAATCCGAGAGCTCTCAGACCCTGCAAAGACAGCAACGCAACTGAAATGTTCCCAGCTCCAGAAACGTAAAGACTTAAAATAGACATTTAACAGCGAGCTAAACTTGTTTTAGATCTTGATATAAGACGTGTTAAGATTTGTGTAATGCATAACCTGTGGTTTGACAGCAGTTGAGGTGTTTTTTTTTTTTCAAACCGCGCATGCGCAGTGGCGCTACAGTCAGACTTTGCTCGAGGACTGAACTCCTGCCATCATTCTGTCACCGCTTTAAAAACACCGGCAGCTTTGATCATTTCCAGCTAATACCTTCATCATCATCACAGTCTTCATCATCCGAATCTCAACATGAGTGGAGATCATGCGCACAAACAGCACCAGGTACGTTAACATGTTCTCCATATGGAGCCATTCTCGCAGGACATATCCGAATACATTTGCAATAAAAATGGTAGACTTTTGCACACGAAAAGTTAAGATTGTACGTAAAAGGACTGTATTTTAATGGCGCAACGCCAACTTTACGCGCGGCTATCTTCTGATTGCATGCGTTTGTGTTATTGGCATGCATGCTAACATCTGTAAATGCTGAGTAACTGTGTGTTTCAGATGCAGCCCGGCTCTGTGGACTACAGTAAGTGCTGATCTTCGGCGCCTTGAAGTGAGAGATGCAGCAGAAATGGCGTCAGAGACTAAGTCCCGCGCGCCGCTCTCCGTGCCGTCTATTGTTCAGAAACAGCGCTGCAAACCCACACTCAGCACCTCCAGTGCCGCACACCGAGCTCACTTTCGTATAGACGAGTTACCGATGAGCGGAACACGACTGTCATCGTGTCGGTTTCGAAGGGGAACGGGCTGAATTTGGCCGCTGAAAGTGGCGAGAGGATGCGTGAGGACTTAGTCTCTGCGCCATTTTCTTTTCTCTGAACACAAGCAGCATTTCTATGAGAGGCAGCAGCATTAATAACTCCTATGACAGACAAACACGCACTCTCACTACTAGCTCACAATGCTAAGCAGAACAAAATACCTTAGTTAGCCCAGCTGTTACTGTCGAATCATCGTGCATTAATATGAAAGAAGCTTTTGCTGTCTTTCTGTCATTTCTGTCAGCAACAACTGTGGGAACTAACTATGGTGCTTTGGCCAAAACTGTAACATTCCAAATTCCAAAAATTAAGTACTTGTAATTAGATTAAATAGCATTTTAAAATACTTGTAATCAGACTACAGTTATTATTCATAATTGTATTTATTCTCACTATTTCCTATTTTTCATCTTTTTTAAATGTTCCTTTCTAAAATAGCCTACCGCTTATCAGTGTTGCCAAGTCTGCGGTTTTCCTGCGGAATTGGGCTACTTTAAAGGGTTAGTTCACCCAAAAATGGAAATTCTGTCATTAATTACTCACCCTCATGTCATTCTAAACCCGTAAGACCTTCGTTCATCTTCGGGACACAAGTTAAAGGGGTCATATGATGCTGCTAAAAAGAACATTATTTTGTGTATTTGGTGTAATGAAATGTGTTTATGCGGTTTAAAGTAAAAAAAACACATTATTTTCCACATACTGTACATTATTGTTTCTCCTCTATGCATTGTGATACTCTCTAAAATGGCGGAAGACGGTAACTCTGGGGAGAAGAATTGTTGAATAAATTATTTTTTTTTGTTTTCCACAAAATTTACATCACAAATAATACGGATGAAAAAGAAGGGGTTGAATGTTAACCACTTTCGTTTTCATATAACTATAAACTATGATAAAAGTTCATCAGCATGCATTGATTAATCCCAAAAAATAAAAATATTGCGACCAAATCATGTGCTGGTGTGACCAGCTGAGAAAGTTAGTCACAAAAGAGCGACCAGTGGGAAGAACGAGTCTGGAGCCCTGAAGCATAAAACACAGTTTTCAGTAACAGTCTCGCGTGCGCACAGCAGCAGTGTGGTTTAGTTTTGTGTGAAAACATGGAGGAAAAGCTGGGAGGTTTTAAAGAGTGCTAAAGGAATTATACAAATGAAGATATGAATGAATTAATTATATGAATGTACCTCTGAAGATTCTGACTGTCTTCAGAAAAGATTCGATGGCATTTTGTTTTCATCTTCGCTCCATGTAATACCTAATAAAGTAGTGTTTTAAGCGCAATGCTGTTTTGTCCTCGGAGGTTACGGGAAACAGCTCTAATTCTGCTGTTCCTAAAGCGCCACCTGCTATCAGAGAGTGGATTTACAGAGAGTTACATTCACATTCAGCCTGGGTGCAGTATCTGTCTGGCCAAAAAATGGACCGCATTTGTGTGCCCTGCTGTAAATTTTGACCGGTTGATGAAAAACAAGCTTATGTGGATTCTACACATTTAAACAATAAGGTATCTAGTATTATTTATGGAGCAGATAAAATACATATAATCATTTATTAATCAATTATCATTTTGACT